ATAACAAGTCCAGAGAAGTCCTCATTTGCCCAATTAGTGGCCATTACATCACCTTCCTCATCGGATGATGCGTCGTCGTCCGCTTCCTCATTATCCGAATCTTCCCTCTCCATTTCATCAACAATTATACAGACTCTCTCCCCCTCATCCGCCATGCCCATGGCCTGCTCCTCCCTTGGTTGATTTTCCTCATTTTGCATCGATGGTCCAACAACATCCCTTGAATTGATAGGACCCTCTACATCTTCGGTTTGCATTGAAACATTTATATCTTTCTCTTGTACCGACACAAATATAACGAGGGGCCATGACCGTTCAAAAGCCATTTCCACATACCGTCTCCAAGCAGCAGTGCTGTCCATCGGCATTAGTTCCCAAAAATAACCTTCTGTTGCACGACTCACTACAACTGATACTGACATTGTGTAGACTTCTTGGTCTATTCTAAATCCTCTCAACAACCAACTATAAATTGACTGAAATGTTCTCTCCGCAGGCCTATCGATGCCCTTAGATGTCATTACAAAATCTGACAGATCAACACCATCTGGACCAAATCTAATATTTCCTTCACCGTGAATTATCTGAAATGTGACCTTATTTGACATTGTGCCTGATGAAAACAATAACTGCGTTAACCTCGCATTTCTGTACTACGCCCTAAGTTACATTCTCTACAATATTGTTCTCCAAAATTCTAAAAGTAGGTTACATTCTCCAGATCAAACTAAACTACATCTTACAATTAACACTACTGTCTATGTCTCAATTCATACTATTATATTCTATGCTCTGGATCTACACATATGTGCTGTGTGCTACAGATATGCTAAAATATATGGAACTAAAACTAAAACGCAACATATATACTCAAACATAACATATTAGTACAAATGCAAAAGATGTATGGGAGCAAACCTGTGATGAAGTGAGCGAACCAGCAGGGCTTCGCCGCTCTCCTTCTGCTGCCCTCTCCTCTCTCTCTTTCGTTTTTTTTTAGATTTTTAGTGAATATAATGAAATTTCAGAGAGAGGGGACTGGGCTTTATAGGGGGGAGGCAAAAATCGCCCTCCTATAGGGGGGGCCGCCTGCAAAATTCCATGCCCCCTCGCCGCCCATTTGCAGGCGCACAGTACAAAATCGCCCTAGCGGAGGGCGGCAAGGGGGCCGCCTGCAAATTTCGTTGACGGCCGTCGCCCGAGAGCGAACGGCCGTCTGCCACGTCACTTTCGCCGCCCTCTGGGATGACGATTTTTAAAAATCGCCCTCCCAGAGGGCGGTAGGCGACCACTTCTGTCAATTTTCAAAATGAAAAATTATTTTTGTAAAACTTTTAATAAAAAAAATTAAAAATAAAAAAAATTCGTTCTCTCTCCCCCTCTTTCTGCGTGTGTGTTCACACTGAAGAGCCTCCAACAAAAAGCTTGTTCCCAGAATATGTGCTGCGAGTGCAAGGTGAGAATACGTACATTCTCGAGATTATTTTTGTTACTTTCCTCTCTCTTGTTTGCTTTTTGTTGAAATTAAATGATCTAAACAAAGCGGGCCTGATGCCCTGATAGAACAAATCAAGGATTAATTAGCTAGATCTATGCCATTATAAATCTATCTGTTTCAAAAATACCAGTACTATTCGTAAAATTAAAACCATGCCATCACAATTTAACATGCATCGTAAATATGCAACTACCTTGTTACATTTTTCCAAACTTTTTGGACCAAAGTGTGCTTTTCTTCATCCTTCATCCTCTCTTCCTCCCCCTTCCCTCCTCTCACATCTCCTCTCTCTTAGTTTTGTCTCCCCAATGGTTGTGGTTGCGGCGGCTGAGATGGCAATGGCCAGCGGCGAGAAGCAGCTAGGTCATAGCAGAGAATAAAGGCGGCAAGCAGCAAAAGCAGCCACCAGATCTACATCAGTCACCGTCGACGAGGACAATAGGAAGTCCAATTGGCTGACGAACAGCAGCTGCATGGATGCGCCTCAAAGATCTACAAGGAGCGCGTGGGCGGCGGCATTCGTGAGCCATTGGAGTTGCTTGACTCATTTCTGGAGAGAGTAGCCATTCGTGCGGGGAGGCGAGTTTTCACCGTGTTGGGCTAGGTGCTGCCTAACTACCGGGCGAGGCTAGGAATGCTGATGCGGTAGGAGGAGCCAAGGGAGACAAATGTGATGGTGGTGCCAACTTCCATTGTTTGATGGAGTTGGTCCCAATCATGTCAGCCATCAACTGTGTTGTCGGCATCCGGTAGCAACTCCAACGCCTTTTGGCCACACCCCGCAACATGGTGTCGACGGACGCGAACAGCTGCTGCAGCTTGTCCTGAGACATCCAACGATGGGAAGAGACGAGAGTTGACCGACAACATGGACATGTCTATTACCTATCTATTATCTATCTATCTATCTATCTATTATATACTAAAAGTCCATGAAACTTTCTACAAACGCTCCTAAGACGCCACGTATCACTCCTACAAACACTCCTAGACAGCCACATGGCACTATCTAATCTCACCGTCGATTTTCAGTAAAATTGGTGGACCCGGTATTTTGGACCATTAGAATAGATCTACTATTTAGAAAAAAATACCTTCCTCTGCTGTGGGCTAGAAAAGAAGAACGTACATACGGATTTTGTATAACCGTGGTATACACTTAACTAAACATTGAAGTTTACCTACTTTTCACATGAAAAAAGAAACTCGCGTACGAACTTACGATAAAAGCGGTAAAATAGAAAAAAAATACGTACATGGAGCCATTGAAAGAAAACGATGGTCTTAAAAAATAGGATTTTCTATTATACTATTTAAAATATCACTCTACATATTTGTGCAAATATACGCAATTAAACTAGATTTTCTACAAAAAATACTACAAAATATCCTTTCAACGCTCTTTAAACGTTATATCTTTAAATTTTAAAAATCATATACTAAAAGTTCATTAAACTTTCTACAAACGTTGTTAAGCTGCCACGTGACTCTCCTACAAACACTACTAAACCGTCATATGACACTATCTAATGTCATCGTCGATTTTCACTTAAACTGAAGAATCCGATATTTTACAATTAGATTCGATTTATTATTTATAAAAAGTAATATCTTTCTCTTTATATGTATAACTGTGGGCCAGAAAAAGAAAAAAAACATAAGTACACCGTACGTAAACGTAGGTACACACGACTTGAAAAAAAAATGAAGATCACCTACTGTTGATGGAAGAAAAGAAAGGATACATACTCACTTATGATAAAAGTGATAAAGTAAGAAAAAACATAGGCATTGAAAAAAAAAGATGATCTTTAAAATATGATTTTCTACTGTTTGAAAATAACTATATTACTCTATATATTACGCAAATATACACAGTTAAACTATCTTCTACAATATAAATATAAAATATCCAATCAATGCTCCTCAAACGTTATCTTTAAATTACTTTAAAATTATTTATCTAATTTATGGTCCAGTCTTATTCCTTCGATAAATTAAATAGTTGATGTCTAGGTTTCTAAATACATCATAACACGTAAGACCGACATAAAATAGTTAATGTTGTGATAATATTTTAAATAATTTCACATATACTTAAATTGACAAATAATGTTGGATTTTTTAAAACAAATTACAAACGTAAGTGCTCACAACGCGCACGCACACATGCACACCCTACCTCTATGAGTACCTTTGAGAGACTGGGTTAACATATTTTGAGATTAACAAAGTCACCACGAGCGTCTCACTGTCGACGGGTACATAGTCTACCACTGAAAGAATTTGTTACGTCTGGGACTTGAACCCGAGTCAGCAAGTTCTATTACAAGGAATCTAACCAGTTGAGCTGCGTTTACTTCGCAATAATGTTGGATATTAAAACAATCATAATTTTGAAGCTATATTTCTGAAATACTCATATGCCTTTTAAACCGGTGGAACCATTATTTTTAATTGTTAGATCTATCTTACATAAGAAAACCAAACGTGTATTCATGGTATATCACATTTCAAAAATATTATTATGCAATTATATTTCGTAATTATCGTTTTCACGTTAGGTTGCGTAGAACCTCTTACCCACTCCACATGAAATGCTTATAGATGAACCGCCGTATCAATCATATTAGGCAATATAAAATTTAGTGGAGCTTCATGCCCCACCCAATTCATCCTTTAATAAACCATGATATTATATATGGAATTAAAAAAATAAAACACATTATTTTTACTTTGCACTTACTTTTACTTTCGTTGACATGTCTTCAAGAAAATAAGTCTACATTTCTTTCAAATGATAAAGAAGATTATAAATAATTGCTTAAAGATATTACTTAAATATGATATAATATAAAGCTAACAGGTTAGAAAACTATAAAAGAAATTAATGCCGATGAAAACAATTTACGGAGAAATCGGGGTTCTCCGGTTAATATTTTCGCTTTGATAAGTATATCAAACTTAGCGTACGATGCATGCACGGGCATTCACGCAGGCTACCTTTCTAGTTTAAACAAATAAACATAGAGAAACTTCGTTAGATGGTGATCATTTTTAAAAAAAAAACCTCAAAATCTCAGTGATAACCAAATTGGGATGAAGGGAGTATTGAATGTGAACGGTTGTGCTCCAACCTCCAATCATCTTGTATAGACATGTGTATATTCTATGGAAAATATTTCACCTATAAGGGCTCCATTGAAAGACATAGATGAGAAAACAAAGGAATAAGAAAAACACAGTATTATAATAGGAATTTAAGTGCAAATGCTTTCAAAGGTGAGTTTACTCTGTTCCATTCCATCTTCTCATTTTTGTGTTCGATCCGTTACTCCTCTATGTATTTGGCCAAATCTTTGGATGGGAGGGGCCTGGATTTGAGGCCGGGATCCATTCTTATGATAGTTTTTGGTAGGGGCCTATTTTGAAAATAGTTTTGAAAAAGGGTCAAATTGTGAAATTTTGCCAGATTTTTAGTAGTTCCACCAACCAAACATGCCCACGCTCAAGTCTTCGTCAACGCATGTGATGCTCCTCCAAGCGACCCACGCCCCCAACTCTTGCTTGCTTTCTCCCACCCTGCATTGTTGCCTACGAACTCGAAATTCCTGTCATGGCGGAGGCGGACCATGGGGGAGAGAAACCCATCGCCCACGCCCTGAGAGACGCGCTGTTCCAGTTCGTTGTCAAGTCCAGGAAGCTGGCGTCCCCCATGTTGCGGGCGTTGGGGCGCGCGTCGACGGGGCCGGTCACCGTCGGCGACGACGAGCTGGCGGCGCTCAGGTCCATGCTCCGCAGGGTCCACGCCGCGCTCCGCGACGCCGAGAGGCTGTCCGTCGCCGACCACTCCGCCCGACTCTGGCTCGCCGAGCTCGGCGACCTCGAGTACCGCGCCGAGGACGTGTTCGAGGAGCTCGAGTACGAGTGCCGCCGCGCCGCGCAGCTGGAGGACCTCAAGATCGACCTTCTTCGCGCCGTGGGGGCGGCCCCGACGACGGGGAAGCGGAAGCGGGAGGTCGCGCAACTGTTCGCCGCCGCGCCGGCCGCGCGCCTCCGCCGCAAGATAGACGACATCTGGGCGAGGTACGGGGAGATCGCGTCGGACCGGAAGAGGCTCCGGCTAAGGCCCGGCGACGGCGCGGCGAGGCGGCCGGCGGCTGGTGCGCTCGTGCCAAGCAGCTCGCTTCCCCGTGGCGAGATCCACTGCCGGGAGCGCGACCTCCAGAGGGTGACCGACCTGGTTTGCCGCTGCAAGCCCGACGGCGGTAGAAACTACGCCGTCGTGGCAATCGTCGGGATGGCCGGCGTCGGGAAGACGTCGCTGGCGCAGCACGTGTGCAGCGAGGAGGCCGTCGCGTCGCAGTTCGACCTCAATCTCTGGGCCTGGGTCTCCCAAGAGTTCGACGTCATCGGCATGACGGCCAAGATCGTCGAGGCCATCACCAGAGCACGCCCCGACTGCTCCGAGCTGAACGCGCTCCACGGAACCATGGTCGAACACCTGGCGGGCAAGAGGTGTCTGCTCGTCCTCGACGACGTCTGGGACGACAATCCCATCCACTGGGACACCATCACGGCGCCGCTGAGCTGCTGCGCGCCGGGGAGCACAGTCGTCATCACGACGAGGAGCAAGATGGTCGCCAAGATGGTTACCCCCAATGTGTACCATCTCGACTGTTTGTCCGACGAACACAGCTGGTACATGTGCCGGCGACGGGCATCACGCGGCGGCGCCACCATCGACGACGAGCTTGCCAGCATCGGCCAACAGATTGCCAAGAAATGCAGAGGCTTGCCATTGGCAGCAGAGGCAGCAGGCACAACCATGAACACCTCAGTCACTAGGGAGCACTGGAATCATGTCCTGGAGAGCAACCTGTGGGCTGACAACGATGAGGCCAAGAACAATGTCCTACCTGCACTCAAGGTGAGCTATGACCATCTACCGGCGCCATTGAAGCGCTGCTTCGCCTTCTGCTCATTGTTCCCGAAGAGCTTCGTCTTCGACAAGGACGCTCTGGTCCAGCTCTGGACCGCGCAGGGCTTCATCAAAACCCGAGGAGAATGCCGGCCTGAAGATGTCGGCGCCGGTTACTTCTATGACTTGGTAGCAAGATGCTTCTTCCAGCTTTCTCCATCTCATGGCATAGGTAAAGGAAAGTATGTCATGCATGACCTGTATCAGGAGCTTGCGCAATTTGTTTCAGGCCATGAATGTAGGATGATACATCAACTAAACCTGACTGGAGCCGACAAGACGACTCGCCATTTGTCCATCGTCCACGACGAGTCAAATTCCGACAAAGAACTATTGTTAAAATCATTTTGTAGCCCCGATCTAAGAACATTCCTTTTTCTTGCAAGAATGGAACAGGTCATCCGTGGAGAAATGCCATACAGAAGAAAGATTGTTCCCTGTGGACTGGTCACAGATTTTGAATGTCTAAGAGTTCTAGGTTTGAGCAACACTGACATTGTAGAGGTACCAAAGTCTATTGGAAGTCTAATACATCTCAGGTACCTTGGCCTGGATAACACTGGAATCCAGATGCTGCCAGAGTCAGTAGGTGCCCTCTTCCACCTGCAGACAATCAAGCTTAACCATTGCTCATCCCTCACTCAGTTGCCACAAGGCATTAAGCTCCTGCTGAACTTAAGATGCCTGGAGATTGCACATTCCAATGTACAAATGCCATCTGGGATCAGAGTACTGACTAGCCTACAGAAGCTGCCTATTTTCAAAGGATGTTCTGTTCAAGGAACCATTTTGCAGCCTTTCTGAAAATATTTGCCACCTTTCACTTGTTCTTTCAGACTCCAACGCTGTTGTGCTGACTAAAGAACTTGGACATCTGCAGGCCCTTATGGTTGTCAGGTGATCTGCATCAGAGTACTCAGGTTCGTTTATGCCGCTTTTGAAAATATTGGGTTTGGATTATTTTCTCGTCAAAACCAGATTTTTTAAGAGCACTGAATTTGAGCGGTACAACAACAGTAGAATTGACCAGTTCTATTATTGGGAGGATGAAAGACTTAAGATTCTTGGCTCTGAACAACACAAAGACAGAGAGTCTCCCAATCCCAACTGATTGTTCAGATAGGTCAGTTAAACACCCTTCAGACATTGGAACTCAAGGATTGTTGCTGCCTCATTGAGTTACCGTAAAGCACAAAGAATTTGACCAAGCTGCGACACCTTGATGTTCGAAAGAAACCAGGAAATGTTCATGTTAGAATGGCTTCTGGGCTCGGGCAACTAACTGATCTGCAAACAGTAACAGTATTTAATATTGGGGATGATTTATCACATTGTTCAATTGGGGACCTGAAGAATCTCTGTAGACTAAGGGGACATATTCATATAACAGGGCTTCAGAATATTACTGCAGGCGATGATGCCAAAGAAGCAAATCTAGTAGTAATCAATTCCTAGAAGCTTTGACACTAGAATGATGTTGCAGCAGCGAGGAATTGGAAGATGACAGTGACAAAGAAATTGTTAATCAGGTCCAAAATCTTCAGCCTAACACTAGCCTTTTTGAGCTAGCTATACAAAATTATCCTGGCAATTTATTCCCTATTTGGATTCAGGATTCTTCCCTTGGCATGCTGGTGTCAATTACGATCGATGACTGCCAAAATTGTAATGAGATCCCATATCTTGGTGATCTTCCATCTCTTAAATATCTCTTCATACAGAAAATGTATGTTGTTGAAAGCTTTGGACAAAGAAGTAACTCTTTGACTACTGATGGGAGATGTACTGAATCTTTGGGAGATATACTCTTTGCAATTCTGGAATGGAACAAGCAAGGACGATTTCCCACGGCTTCGTTGTCTCTCTGTCAGTAGATGCCCAAAACTAAGTAATTTGCAGCGACGAATGACACAGCAGCTCAGGTGTTGCAGTACCTCAGACCCAATTCAAATCTGGAGGAGCTCATCATGAAAGGTTATAATGGATCATCATTCCCATCATGGGTAGGGTCTCTACCTTTGGACAGGTTAGCTTCAATAGAACTCAAAGACTGACAAAATTGCGAAGAACTACCACCTCCTGGAAGATTCCCATCCCTGAAACATGATGTGATACAGTCACTACCAAGTGTCAAACTAGTTGGGCCTGAATTTCTTGGCAATGTTGGCGATATTAATTACTTTTTTTTTTGACAAGAAACAGCAAGATAGGCTCCTACTGTGTTATATACTCCCTCCGTTTCGAAATGTTTGACACCGTTGACTTTTTAGCACATGTTTGACCGTTCGTCTTATTCAAAAACTTTTGTGAGATATGTAAAATTATATGCCTACATAAAAATATATTTAATAATGAATTAAATGAATGGAAAAAAATTAATAATTACTTAAATTTTTTGAATAAGACGAACGGTCAAACATGTGATAAAAAGTCAACGGCGTCAAACATTTCAAAACGGATGGAGTATTAAATAATAAAATAGAGTTTATATACATCGAAGAAAAAAATAAAAAAAATATTTACAAGTGGATTAGAAACGAGAGTCTAGCCATGATTGAAATGGGGGTCTGTCTTCTTCCTTCACTCTTTGCATAAGAAGAGCGAAATTTTCCTTAAAGGCCGATTTCCAATGATTGAGAGATATGGCAATATTGTCAAAAATAAGAGCATTTCGTGAGGACCATATCTGCCAGTATGCTGTGCCTATTACCTCAACAAAGAATGGCCGGTTAAAAACATGATAGGCTGACTGAATCATTTGCAGAAATTCCAAATCCTCATCCCAGCTGACACCAAGGAGATTCCTGCATGATTTGGCAAATGGGCAAGAGAAAAACATGTGCACCATATCTTCCAAAACCCCTGAAGTACACATTTTACAGGAAGGGCCATCTTGGACATGCAATTGTCGCCTTTGAAGCATATCTCGTGTGTTTAATCTATCCATAAAAAGGAGCTAGAGAAAAGCTTTAACTTTCATTGTGCACTTACTTTTCCATATGGAGGTAATTGCTGGATGAGGGGAAAGGTGAGCAAAAAACAAGTCATAGACCTTCTTTCACTTGAAAATTGTCCCCCAGGAATATGTCCAAATGTCTGGGTGATCTGTGAGATTGATATTTTCCAAAAGGCGTGAAAGTTCAGTGAATTGCTGTAACGCTTGGGGGGATAGTGGCAAATTGAAATTTTCTGTCACATCATTCTGAACATAAGTTTATACTGTGATACCTTCATTGATAGCAAAGGAAAATAATGTTGAGAAAGCATTTTGAGGCAAGTCATCTGTCCATGGGTCTTTCCAGAAAAGAGCCAAATCTCCTGTGTTTATCTGGATTGTACTAACCCCTCTGAAGATTGGGATTAAACGAAAGATATCTTTCCACCAAAATGATCCTCTTTCCTGCAGGGCATGCGGTGGCACCGAGTTGTTACTGTAGTATGCATTCCAAATGAGCTTCACCCAAGGTAGATCTCTCTTATTGAAGAACTTATCCAGATGTTTCATTAATAGGGCACAGTTTTGGAAATCCAAATTTATGATACCCATTCCCCCTCTTTTCTTTGGTTTACAAACTTTGTCCCAGGCTGCCAGGGACAGAGACCTAGCATCAACTTCTGAAGTCTCTAATGTTAATATCAACTTCTGAGAGTGATATTAATTACTTCCAGCAGCAGCAGGAGTACCGTCTCTAATGTTTTTCCTGCATTGGAGTCTCTGAAGTTCAGGGACATGGGAGCCTGGGAGGAATGGTCAGAATTCAAGGATGAACACTTCCCACAGCTCAAGTATCTCAGCATTGTTAGGTGTGCAAAGCTGACGGTGCTGCCCAACTTCACTTCAGGACCAAAACAGAGAATCAGGAGTTGTGAGAAACTGCTCCAGCCTCTATGTCAGGTATCTTCCATCAACTTCTTGCATCGATTTTTATGTAAGGAGATTTGTCATAACTCATAAATACATTTCGTTGTTCATTTGCCCTGGGATCATCTTTTTACTTTATCACAGCTGACAGCTGCAAATGTTATTTCTATTTATTTGCTTATTTCTTCTGTTTTGACACAAATATGCTCCTAGATAATTGCTCATCAATCATCACTCACGACCAAGACAAACTAAATTATATGAAACGAGGATTAGTGTTTCTGCGCTCATAAACAGGGTGAATGAAGTATTTCTTTGATTTTTCATAATAGCTTTGGTATGTACTGCTTTATAATATAAAAACTATTTTAGCCCGAACTGCATGTTTTTTCTTACAGAATAATTAAACTAAAAATGTTTTGTTCTCTCTTTCCTGATCAGAATATACGGCGGAATTTGATGAAGTACATACCACCACCAAGTGAACTGTCATATGCATGCATGGCAGAAGGTAATATTTCAATCATAGAAGCTTCCTGTTCATACAGTAGGTAGAACATCGGAAGTGGAGGGAGGGCATCCATTATTGTAAATGCTCATGAATTGATGCTATTTAGCTTAACAATCTTATTTCAGATAGGTTGTTATTTGCAGTTACATTCTATAGTGTCTTCAGGACAATATTCAGCCAAGTTTGCTTACAATTCCTTCCAAGGTGCCACTCTATTCAGGCCATGGGAACGTAGTTGAAAAGTGTCACTTTTTCATGTGGCTTGTCGTGCATAATTGGTGCTGGATCGTCTTGGCCGACGAGTTCTGCCACACCCGGATCATTGTCCTCATTGTGACCAACAGGACGAAACAATTGATCACTTGCTTACAAACTGTCTCTTCGCGAGACAATTTTGGTACTCCCTCCTACAGCGGTTTGGCCTGAATTCTTTGCCCCCCTTGAATGACGATCAATTTTGAGTGGTGAAACAGGATCAATGAGGCAACTAATGGTTCGGTGCAAAATGGACTTAATTCTATAGTAATTCTTGGTGTTTGGACGTTTTGGAAGCATCGGAACCGTTGTGTTTCTGATGGGGTTAATCCTAACTTGGCCAGTGCTCTTATTCTTGCTGAGGAGAAAGGACGGCTGTGGTGTTTGGCCAGGGCTCGGGGGCTATCCTTTTATATTGCCAAAGTGTTGGGTGGTTAGTCTCAGATCATGGTTTGGTTTGTGGTTGTGGTTGTGGTTGGGTTTGCGACATACATGGTTCCTAGAACTTAGTGTGTGTGCGTTTGGTTTTGTACTCGAGGTTCTACCCCCTCTTTCTTCTTCTTAAGAGATATTTTACGGTGTATGCATTCCAAAAAGGGTAAAGATCCAATGCTCCTCAATCACAGGTACCATGTTAAAGGTATTTAAGTATTGATATAGGTATTAAGGTACTAAGGGTAAAAACATAATTTTGCTAACAGAGTGAAAAGGGTAGAATTGTCCTCCAAATTATAATAGGTACCGTGGTAGGTATAACGGTACGTATTAACATCTACACGGTATCAGCGTCTCTTTTGCGTGGTTTCTTGAAGATTTACGTTGTATTCGAGGCATTAACATCTACACGGTATCAGCGTCTCATTTGCGTCGTTTCTTGAAGATTTACGTTGTATTCGAGTTAAGTCGTTTACCGCGGTGTTCTTTGATGTTCTCTTTTGCGTAGATTTCTCTAGATTTACATTGTGTTGTTATAACACGTTACTGGCCTAATTATGTGAATTTTTTCTACATTTATATTTTGTTCCAACGAACACGTAAAAACTCATACCTTAATTCTGTTGAAAATTATATTTTGTTTTCAGCAAGAGATTTATATTGTGTTTCAGAAACATGACCGGTTAAAATATCACCTAGGGTTAGCATCAATTTAAATTATACATTTTATGAATTTATGATAACATGCTATGTCAAGATAACCAACAACATACCAACACAGGTAGCTTGACATGATCATGGTGAGCATGCTCACAAACACCCATATCATATACCCGCTAGATAAAACATGCCAGATAAACTTCATCAACAACAGCCTTTTTACAACAAAAGGTCATAGGTTCAACAACAGGCTAACCCTAATATTAGTTCAACGCATAGCATTCTGTACTATTAGCCTACTTACATTCCAACATTGGCACATATACAACCAAAAGGACCTTAGGAGTATTCTAACATCGTCGTGAAACGTGCTTCCTTGCTGTCCCCTTTGTTAGAGCTACCTTCTTAGGAGTTTCTGCACTTGTGATATGGGTGTCTGCAAGAATCTGCACAATAAGACAAGAGAAATCAAATTGCAGCCTATATATAATGCTACATCCATAAGGCCAAACTTAACAAAAATTTAAGGAGATGGATTTAGGTCACAATCTATTGTTTACAAGTAGAATTTGTCTTAGCCAACTACATTGGGAAGATAAAGTCAAATAGTCACAACCAATCAACAAAATAGTTGAGATGAGGACACAGCGACGATGTCTGGATTAATGCCTTGATTTTTCACGGTACTAAACAAGAGTAGACCAAAATTAGTGTCTCACCAATAAATATATAATGTCCAATAATCACTATATGCAATCTAATTTTGTGTGTACTGAAACTTTGACAATCCAGAAAATAACTCACGATCCAGTAGCAGTAATACCGCCCAATAAAAGAATTTATATAGAACAATTATTCACTTTCTTGCATGAATTTTCAAGAAGACTTGTGCAGAAATATTAATAATGGAACCACGTCTCATCATGAACAGCACATGACCTATGAAAATTTTAGTATAAAGTGAAAACTATAACTCACAGAAGTCATCACATTGTTGCTGGGGCTAGGTGCTGTGGATGGCAATTGATGTGGTAGAGGTAGCACCATACATGGTAGTTCCCATTTGTTTGCCTAGTCTTGTCGATCGGTTATTGCAAACTGTAGCAAAGATATTCATTAGCCGTATGGTGTTTTTTAAAGCTTCTTCATGCATCTTGTTCTTAGCACGGTTCACAGATACCCTATAGTCATGATTAATGGCTGCATGCTCGTGGGCGTAGTTGGTTTTAGCCTTTTTTACCATCTCCATCTCTTGTGACGCATGAATCAGAAACCCATGTGTATTAGTTGAATGCAAAATTATAGTATTACTTACAAGGTTATGTTAATCACCTCAAAGGAGAAGCTTCCATCATCCAATTGCCTAACTAGATCAGCATAAGGTCCAAGACCAGCCATATTGACTGTTTCTTTATATGGCTCAAAAGCTTTAGCATAACAGTTGGCTTCTACATTCTTTAGCTGGTAAAGTAAAATGGCTTAGGAAACTGCTATAAGGAAGCCAGTGGATAATGGGTCACTATTAGGAACTACCTTGCATTCATTTCATCTGATGTCACTAAGTAAGCAAAATACCCCAGCCAATAGACATCCATTTCCAGTACATCAGTTTCATCCCCTCACTATATGCCATAGTATATGAGTAACATAGTACAGTACAATTTATACTTTAAATCCTTGCCATGTGTGATAAAAGATAGCATTTGTGCAGCATAGGGTAGGCTCAAGATGTAGTCCGAGTGACTTCAGTGCAGCCATAAAATACCTCAGTCCTGACAAAAAGAAAAGGTTCAAATATTAGGATTCGGAGGCTTATTAAACAATAAGTGCTCAAGTGTTTTCAAGCAGCTTGGAATATGGTTACTACAACACTACAACGTGTTAACTGACGTTATAGAACTACCAAATGGTAAAATCCCAATCAATCCTAAATGTGTCAACATTGTGTTTGGTATCCCTCGTACTGGAGTGACTATAAAACCAAACAATCCAAAGCATGAGTTTATCAAGATACTAAAGCACTTGTTTAGGGTTTCATCGGGTACTCAAATTTCTGTTCAACAATTACAAGTGCATTTGAAGGAGGTAACACGGATAACAAGTTCATCACAGCTTTTATGTTGATTACTCTGTGCAAGATCATTGCCCCAACAACATCAAACCAACCTAGTATGCAATATGCCAATGTTTGCTTGGATGTTAACAACATTGCAAAGTACAATTGGGCTGAGGACATGCTTTCAACTATAAGAAATGCAGTGCTGCAGGTGCAGGACAAGATTGAGAAGAAAGAAAATATTGATTGGATTTCAGCATCCACATATTTTCTTGGGGTACATATCTACATGCTTAATCTCTCCTTTACGCCTTCTTTTTAGTACTGTAACATCTCACTGCTTCTTTCCCCTAAAAATGCAGCTACTATATTTAGATTATATAGATGCATCTGGATGTAATGTGCCATGGGGAGAGCCTAGGGTGGCATTTTGGACAGATCAAGCAGCAAAACCATTGAAAAATGCTGATATGGGATCTGGGCTTTATGCAGTTTATGGATCATGCAAGGTAATTCGACCACTCCTTCAATGTCATCTCATCTAAATAGACATGCACCTTTTTTTTTTTGCCTAAGCCATTTTACTTTACCAGCTAAAGAATGTAGAAGCCAACTGTTATGCTAAAGCTTTTGAGCCATATAAAGAAACAGCCAATATGGCTGGTCTTGGACCTTATGCTGATCTAGTTAGGCAATTGGATGATTGAAGCTTCTCCTTTGAAGTGATTAACATAACCTTGTAAGTAATACTATAATTCTGCATTCTAATGGATAAGTCTTTGTGGTCCTTGGTCCTGGTTTCCTTTTTTGCTTTTGGGTAGTTTCACCTTTTCAGGACAGCATCTACTCTTTAAGCATATTTTCAGTTACTAGGACAGCTGCGGTTAGTAGGACAACAGCAATTAGCATCTCCTTTATGCCTCCTTTATGCTTTATTCAGTTTGGATGCCCTCTAGGACAGCATCCCATTCAAATTTCGAATTTTTAGACTAGAAGGGTGAAGCAATAGGCTTACAGCGAATTTTTAGACTAGGAGGATGCAGTAATAGGCTTGCAGCCAGCTATGGCTATATATATGTATCCAACCTCCCTCGGGAAGGTATGGCTTTTGAGTTTGTGAATGAAGAAAACCAGAAAATTGCCCCACTCTGAGTGCCATCCTCTTCTCAATGAGAGTAACCATTGAAATTCTAACATCTGGTATCAGAGCCACACTTTCCTGTAGGCTAAATATCTCTTGTTCCACCCCTTCCCAAGCTCGGTTGAGCTCTCAGCCACCAGCAGCAGCAGCACCGGCTGCTCCTCCTTCCCCTTTCCCTTCCCCCTCTCCACGCAGCAGCCCCCCAAGGTGCGCCATGTCCGACGTTCGGTCTCGGCGTTGGGTCGCCTCAAGCACTCGGCGTCAGCAGGACGCCGAGCTCGCCGCAGCAGAAGAGCGCATGCGAGCAACGGCTCAGACTGCTGCAGCTACAGCGAGGGCGGCCAGACTGGCGGCAGCGGAGTTGGCAGCTGCCAGGGCGGAGGCAGAAGCAGAGGCGGCGTAAGATGCGGCACGTGCGGCGGAGGTAGAGGTTGAGACCTTGCGCAGCAGCATCAACGGCTCCATCGCCGGCGACATCACCGCCGACAAGGAGCTTGAGGAGCTGGCAAGAGGAAGGGCACGGGAGCGGGCAGAGCGGTGGGCAGCAGCCCACCTCCACGGCGGCGGCGGCGGCGGCGGCCCAAGGGACCGCGCGCCCGCTGACGGGAACCCAGACGGGCGCGGGCGTGCCGGCGGCATCCCGGAGCCCGCGCGCGGCCCTCGCAGGCAGCGCGGCTCTCTCTCCCCTGACCGGCGCCATGGCCACCACGGCGTCCAGACGGTGGTCAGGGACTTTGGTCCCGGGGGTGGGTGGCCTACCCTCACCAAAACCAACTACATCGAGTGGGACGCGGTGATGAGGGTGAGGCTCCAGGTGCGGCACATGTGGGAGGCAGTCTGGTACGGCGACGTCGACTACGACGATGATCGGCGGGCACTGGATGCCCTCATCGCTGCAGTCCCGCCCGAGATGCAGTTCTCGCTTTTCCAGAAGCGGATTGCCAAGGAGGCCTGGGACGCCATCGCTGCGGCACGCATCGGCAGCGACCGCGCCCGCAAGTCCACACTGCAGGCACTCCGCAAGGAGTGGGACAACCTGGCCTTCAAGCCAGGTGAGGATGTTGATGACTTTTCCCTCCGTCTCAACACTCTTGCAGAAGATGGTGCAGTACGGCGATGACACCTACGACGAGGAGAGAGCTGTCGAGAAGCTCTTCCGCTGCGTCCGAGAGAATTACAGGCAGATCGCTCGCTCGATCGAGTCTCTGCTGGACCTCTCCACAATGTCGATCGAGGAGGCGTTAGGTCGCCTCAAGGTCGTCGACAGTGATGAGCCACAGCCTCTCTCGGGGCCTATCACCATTGGCGGGAAGCTCCATCTCACTCAGGAGCAGTGGGAGGCCTCTCAGGGTGACAAGAGGAAGGGGGAGTCATCTTCCCCGACAGGCGGCCGTAAGCCGCGCTAGGCACGGGGAGGTGTCCAGCTACGGTGGGCGCGAAGACGTGCCGAGGGTGGCGCCCGCAGAGGCGCCCAGGGCGGCGCCACCGGCAACCACAAGCCGGCACGAGACGACGCTTGTCGCAACTGTGGCAAGCTTGGCCATTGGGCCAAAGACCGTCGACAGCCACGACGCGGCCAGGCCCACGTCGCACGGGTGGAGGAAGAGCCGGCTCTGCTCCTGGCTCACGCAAGCATCGAGCTACCTCCAGCGGCACCGGCCGCAGCGGCTTTCCTCCACCTTGATGAGCCGAAGGTACTCGTCTCCCTCTGCAACGGCTCCAGCAACAACAAGGCTGATGGGTGGTACCTCAACACTGGCGCCACCCATCACATGACCGGCCGACGGGAGTTCTTCACCGAGTTCGACTCCAGCGTCCGAGGCTCCGTCAAGTTTGGGGACGCCTCCGGCGTGGAGATCAAGGGCGTTGGCTCCGTCACCTTCACCGCCAAGTCCGGTGAGCACAGGCTGCTCACCGGAGTCTACTACATCCCCGCGTTGAGGAATTCTATCATCAGCGTGGGACAGCTAAATGAGAACGGCTCACACGTGTTGGTCGAGGACGGACTCATGAGGATTTGGAATCGCCGTCGTCGCCTTCTTGCCAAGGTAACCAGAGGCACTAATCGACTCTACATCCTCAGCGCACAGGTCGCACAACCAGTTTGCCTCGCCGCTCGTCGGGACGACGAGGCGTGGCAGTGGCACGAGCGCTTCGGGCACCTCCACTTCGAGGCCCTAAAGCGGCTCAGTGCCAAGGAGATGGTGCGAGACATGCCGAGCCTTGACCACGTGGAGCAGCTCTGCGACGTCTCCGTGGTAACGAAGCAGCGGCGACTCCCCTTTCCCCAGCAGACGAGCTTCCGAGCCAAGGAGCGGCTCAAGCTCGTGCACGGGGACTTGTGTGGCCCAGTGACACCGGCCACACCAGGAGGACGGCGTTACTTCCTGCTGCTCGTTGACGACCTCTCCTGCTACATGTGGGTGACGCCATCAGGCGCGTGCAGGCTGCTGCAGAGGCGGAGTGCGGCCGCAAGCTGCGCGTGCTGCGCACCGACAACGGCGGCGAATTCACGGCGGCTGAATTCGCGTCGTACTACGCTGATGAGGGCATTCAGCGCCACTACACCACGCCGTACAGCCCGCAGCGGAACGGCGTCGTCGAGTGTCGCAACCAGACGGTTGTGGGGAAGGCTCAGGCTCTCCTCAAGCAGAGGGGGATGCCGGCCATCTTCTGGGGGAAGGCGGTGGTGACGGCTGTCTACATCCTCAACCGCTCGTCTACCAAGGCCCTCGATGGCAGGACACCGTACGAGGCTTGGCATGGGCGCAAGCCGGCGGTCTCCCACCTGCGGGTCTTCGGCTGCCTCGCGTTCGCCAAGGAGCTTGGCCACATCGGCAAGCTCGACGACAGGAGCACCCCAGGGGTGTTCATCGGCTACGCGAAGGGCTCGAAGGCCTACCGCATCCTCGACCCGGAGACAGCGTGTGCGCACAGCGCGCGACGTAGTGTTCGACGAAGGGCGAGGGTGGGTATGGGACAAGGTGGTGGACGATGGTTCGACTCCGACGTACGACGACTTCACCATCAAGTACGTCCACTTCGAGGGAGCTAGGGGAGTAGGCAGCTCTTCTTCACCGAGCGTGTCTACCCCAGTCCCCGAGCCTCCATCGACTCCGACTCCAACACACTCTCGGGCCATGACTTCGACTACGACGAGCTCTTCGCCGACACCACCACAGCCGGCGACCCCACGCGCTCCAGCACCAACAGCCACTCCTCCGAGCACGTCTACTCCGACGCCAGCTCGTGTTGAGCGCAGCTCGGTGGAGTTCGCTACTCTGCTTTCCCACGACGGGGAGCGCATCGACGCGTACCACGACGGCGAGCAGCTACGGTACCGTACGATGAAGGATCTTCTCGGCGACCAGCCGGTGCCGGGACTGGTACCTCGCGACCTAGAGGCGCAGTTGCACCTTGCGTGCGACGACGGTGAGCCTCGGTCTTTCACAGAGGCCGAGAAACACGCGGCATGGCGTGCCGCGATGCAGTCGGAGATAGACGCGGTTCAGGAGAACCGCACCTGGGAGCTTGCTGACCTCCCTCGTGGTCACCGCGCGATCACCCTTAAGTGG